GGCACCAGGATACAGGTTAGGTTAGGAGACCCAGACCTGTTACTACCCAGTCCTCCCCAACTTATTATTATTATTATTATTATTATTATTATTATTATTATTATTAATACATGGAGACAAGAGTCCTTTTGTTTACTCGGCAGCCACGTGCCTCACTACCAACAGTAATAAGAGAACGCCGGGATGAGCAGCGCACACCATTTAAACTTACATCACGTTACATCCTTCCCCTCAAGATAAACAGTGTACTGACAAAATTCAAATAAATAAAACACATCAGAAATGTGAGACAATAATAAAAATGAGAAGACGTCTTCCTTCAAGTAACATAGGTAGTTATTTTGAAGAATATTACAAAAACACACTCACAACAATACAGTACTTAATGCTAAGTGTATAGTTTACAGAACCTACATAGTTAGAGCCTTCAGATCAGACCTCAGAGTCACTATGAGCAGGTAGATAAGTCCCTGGCCCGTCTCAGATAGGAGTTTATTCCTGAATGGTCCGCATGTAGTTTGCATTTCATTTCACCCCAATAGTGTGCTGGGAATTATAACCCTCTCTCCCCGCAACAACACACCATCTTGAACAGTCATTTCATCTCTATAGCTGAAATAAGGTGACACACTCACAGAAACATCACTTTTGTTAGCTGGCCAACCTTTCAGAACAACTACCTTCAGTTGACTCAGTATTTCATCTTTCTCAGTGGCCTCTCTAACCTCACACAGCCTGCCTGGTTTGAAAGGAGTGTCAGTCAGGTTGTGAACTAGCAGCATTATTTCCCAGGGTTCATCTACAGGGGCTCTACATAAGGCATCAGCCACAGGGATGTCTTTGGCTTAATTTATAGTGGTACTCCCGAGTTCTCATTAGCGTTGCTTGTAAGCGTTTGAGAGCACGAGACAGAGACTTGTCTCTAATGTTAACAAGTAGCTTTGTGATCTCCAAAATTGCCTTAACAAAGCGACCATATGTGTAATGATGAAATTTCTCAAGACCATAGACAATTGCCAACATTTCTTTCTCTATTTGTGCACAGTTCCTCTCTTCCTCACTTAGAGACTTACTTGCAAAAGCAACAGGTTTTCCTTCCTGTAGAAGCACTGAGCCAAGTCCATATTCACTAGCACCATTCTCAAGTGTTAACTCTTTAATAGGGTCATAGAACACCAGTAGATATTTATCAGTTATCATGCCCTTAACTTTCTGAAAAACCTGCTCTTATACACTGGACCAGCACTAGAGTACATCATTTTTCAACACATTATAAATGGTGTGTAAGACATCACACACATTAGGTAGGAGTCTGGACACATAATTAGCCAGGCCTAGGAATGACCTCAGGCTACTTTTATTTTTTTTTCAGGATGAGGTTGAAGACCCTCTTTGGTTATTTGATGTAACATGAATGTTAAAGTGTCACTCCGCAACTCAATCTTTGTCTTTGTTTTGTCTACAACATTTGAGAAATCTTTCTTAGTTTGCATCATGTTCTGTTGTGTCAGTAATCACTAGCGTAGCTAGGGGGGGCGGTCCCCCGGCCACTGGTCTGCTCATCACATATCTGCAGCCTGGAACGTTAATCCATCCTTTGTATCGGCGATTAATCCTTGTCGTGTCTGCCTAACACTGACCCCTCATCAGCCGCAGGCTACTTGCTGCCCACACACAACCTGTAACCTGTTGAGATTAACAACAAACAATCGAGTGAGCTCATGGTGTGGGTGGTGTTAGTCAGACCAGTCTGCGCAAAAGGAAATCGTCTCCAGTATCTACAGTCTCGGTCATATCAGTTCATACCGACCAATCCACGTACAAGCAATTATTCAGTTCTGCACAAGTCTCCATCGTGACAAAGGGAGGCTGACGACTTAAGTTCTTTGTGTTTTGATCAGTTATTTACTTCGTGGAAGCTAATACTAAGGTAATTTAAATGTTAAAAATATTGATGTTTTTGGTATGAGATTAATTAAATTTTGTTTACAGCATTGATTTTATATACACTATCCTCACTGGACAAAAGCCCAGCGACAGACAGCCCCTACTTTGATGGGTGGCTTTTTTGAACTATTAATTATATATATATATATATATATATATATATATATATATATATATATAAGTGCAATTTTTTTTAGGTCTGGGCGGAAATCTGGGCCACCTTCTACTGTAATGTCGCGGCAACTCCCTTCATACCTGCTGGTGCGGCAAGTAATTGCCTCTGAAAAATTGCTGAGGATACATTCAGCCAAAAAGATACATAAGAACATATGAATGGAGAAAACTGTGGTGGGTCTATTGGCCCATACTGGGCAGTCCCATTTACACCCAACCCCTATTGCTCATATATCCATCCAGCCTATGTTTGAAGCTATCCAGCGTATTAGAGTTAATGATGATATTTGGGAACTTGTTCTATTTATCCACTATATTTCCAAACCAATGTTTACCTATCTTTCGCCTCAATCTAAATTTGTTTAATTTAAAATCATTGTTACGAGTTCACTCGTGATAGGTGCAGCCACCTAAATCTACCATGACATGTTTGGAATGTGGTCAAGTAGCTAGAAGGAGTATCAAGCCTCACATGCCAATAGCCAGATGCCAAGTCGACTTTTGAGAGCACTCTAGACTGGCCCAATTCATGAAGGGTGTCCTCAAGAATAGGAAGTGTATAGTGTTCCCTTTGAAGGGTTATTCAGCTCTCTTGTGTCTATGCCAGGGTTGTTATGATTTAAATCAAATGATTTAAATCACATGATTTAAATCGATTTAAATCAGAGTAAAAAAATCATGATTGAAATCAAAATGATTTTTTTACTAATAACTGTTTTCTCTTTTTATTCTACATGATTGAAAAGTATATACAATGCAGCAGGCTAATAACATCAAGATGATTATAATGCTAAGACCAGGATATGTTCCACCTAATAGACATCAAATTGGAGGGTCTCTTTTGGATCAAGCCTACGATTCAGTGATTAAGATGGATGGAGTAATGTCCATAATGAGCCTATAGTATGTATAACTTTAACAGCGGACAACCGTATTTATCTTGTTAACTCTATAGACACAGAATCAAAACACACAGCTGAATATCTGTTGAAATTAGCTGAATGTGCTCCAAAAAAGTGTGAAGACAAATTTGGATGCAAGTAAGAAGCTGTGTAACAGATAATGCTGCTAATATGGCAAAAATGAGAAGTGAATTAGGACAAGATAAATCCATTATAACATATGGTTGCTCTGCACACCTGTTAAATTTGCTTTCACAAGACTTGCAAATCAAGAATATTATGGAGCACATTACTGAAATCATTAAGTACTTCAGAAATCATCACATCCCAGGATCTTTGCACAGAAGAGCAGGAGGAACAATGCTAGAAATGCCATCAGACACACGATGGAACACAGTGACAGATTCTACTGAATCTTATTTAAAGAACTGGGAGACCCTTGTCAAAGTGTGCAAAGAAAATAATGAAGACTTTGATAAGAAAATTGAAAGGAAAGTTAATGATAAGGCATTAAAAAGAACTGCAGAAGACTATTTAGAGAGACTTAAGTCTATTGCTGTGGCATTGGACTGTGATGCTGTAGAAATCTGGGTAAAACTGAAAACTGATATTAAGGAGTATTTAACAGATAAGAAGGATGTGGATAATTTTGAAAAAAGAATCAAAGTAGCATTGACACCTGCCCATTTTCTAGCTAATGTGATAGATCCAAGGTATCAGGGCAGACATCTGACTCCTGAGCAGCGAGACATTGCAGAGCAGTATGAGTGCGAGTCTCTTCCACATTTCCTTTCAACATTAATGTCCTTTCATGGAAGAAGTGCACCATCTAAAGAGGTCTATTTTGGTAAAAATGTTGTAAAATCTCTCTCACCCCTTGCTTGGTGGCAGTATTTTGCCAATGATATGACAGAAAATGTAATAGACAGTAGGATCTCGCCAATAACGACTTCCACAATAACGTTTTCGACATTAACGGTAAGTTACAATAGATACCCATTTTCAATAATAACGTCTGGATTCTCTTGAATAACGGAAATTAGATTTCGCGGGAAGTGTCCGAGTGCATCAATAATAGAGTTTGTTTGGCCGCCATGTTGATGACGTAGTTGTCCGCTCTGCCTCACTCTCACACACGCTCTGTGGAATACAGCGCTGTGCCCACGTGTGAGATTTTCGCCTCTATAACCAGTGGTTGCGAGGGTCGGTGATCAACAATGGCTTCCGTGTTTTTGCCTGTGGGGGCTGGGGAGAGTGGTGGAGGGAGTGATTTACCGCCTGAACGCCCGGGAACTTTTAAAGTGAATGAGAAAAAAGACCCCCAAAGCTAAGAGACAAAGCCACAAGAAGCATACCTACTCGGTCAAGGATAAAGAACAGATTGTTGAGCTCATTGAAAGTGGTGCACGGAACATTGCTATTGTGAGGAAATTGAACTGTCCTGAGTCTACAGTGCGAAATATTAAGAGGAACTTAGAGGAGACCAAGAAGAGTATTGCGCTAGCTAAGAAATATTTCGGTAGTGATGGAAATGCAAGGCGAGCTATGAATGATAAAAGTGATAGAAACAGGTTGATAGTGATAACAGAGCATTTTCTTGTGAAATGGTTAGCTTGTAGAATGAAAGACAGTGCAAGTGTTAGCGGCCCTCAGATACGAGATCAAGCAAGGGTATTGTACGCTGCTGTAGCTCGAAAGAAAAACATTAAGTCTCCCCCTCCTTTCAATGCCTCAGTAGGGTGGCTGCATAAGTTTAAGATAAGAAGTGGCACAAAGTATGCAAAGTATCAGGGTGAGGCTTTGTCTGCTGACTTAGTGGCTGCAGATTCCTTCCCTGAAATTGTCAATCAAATCATTCAAGAGGGAGGTTATACCCTGGATCAGATTTTTAACTGTGATGAGACCGGGTTGTTTTGGAAAAAATCCCCTAAAGGAACATTGAACTCTAAGAAAGAAAAACAGGCAAAAGGTGTGAAAATGGCAAAGGATCGCTTTAGTGTCCTCCTAACCTGTAATGCTTCAGGTGACTGCCTCATGAAGCCTCTGGTGATCTACAAATGTAAAAGACCAAGAGCTTACAAGGGATGTGATATGTCCAAACTGAATGTCTACTGGGAAAAGACAAATAAAGGCTACATGTCCACGGAGTTATCAAAGAAGTGGTTTGGTGATTGTTTTGTTAAGGATGCCAAAGAATACTGCCAGAAGAAGAATGTATCCCTCAAAGTGGTGCTCTTTCTAGACAATGCCCCCAGTCATGCACGATTTCTAGTAGGAAGTCACCCTAGCGTTGAGGTTGTGTTTCTTCCACCAAATACAACCTCCAAAATACAGCCACTAGACCAAGAAATCATAGCGAATGTAAAGTTGCTGTACTACAAATATGTACATGACAAGATGAGGAAGGAAACTGAAGAAGTGAAGGAAATTGCTGAAACTGTGAGCAGTAGCGAGGAAGAGGAGGGTACACCCCTAGCCGCCTCCGCTACTCCGCCTGGCTCACACACCGCCTCCGCTGCTCCGCACGACTCACCCACCGCCTCCGTTACTCCGCCTGCCTCACTCACAGCCTCCGCCTCCACTCCTCCTCCTGGCGTACCTTCAACCTCCACAGTGACTGTTACTGCCTTCTGGAAAAATTATAATATTCACCAGGCAGTCAATTTCTTTGTAAAAGCCTGGGGAAATACTACGAAAGCAACCATTAGGCATGCCTGGTCGGCACTCCTGCCACAACTCAAGTCTGCCGAGACGAAGAGACAGCAGCCAGCAGAGCTAATGAACCAAGTGTTGGAAACTGTCCGCAGTATCCCAGCCCCAGGATTTCAAGAAGTGACTCGGGAAGGTTTAGAAGAAATGATGCAAGAAGGTAACACAAATGACGTCGAGGATCTCCTGGAGGATGAAGAAGGTGGTGAGAGTGGTGATGCAGCGAGTGATGCAGGGGAGACCGAGCAGAGGAAAGTGATGGCACAGAATCTGTCACTCTTATTGAGTGTCTTTACCAGCCTTCAAGAGATGATCCAAGACATTGAGAGTGAATCAGGTGAAAAGGAGCAAGTGATTGGAGTTATAGAATCTATTTCAAGGAAATACCAGACGCAGTACAATGAGCGAGTGACTGCCAGGCAGCAGTCACTCATCACTCGCTTTCTTTCACAACGCCGGCCAGCTGAGGAGGACCAACAGAGAGAGATTGAAGTTGATGAAATGCCTGAAGATTTTGACTTTGCGGGGTTTGATGAAGTGTTAGCGGAAGTGGGTGAACCGGGTGTGAGAGGCCACCAAGGGGATGGAGGTTCAACGCAGTAGCCTCCATGCCCAGCCACGGAACAATAAACACACCAAGCACCTCAAAAACTTCCCCAAGCTACGGGTAAGTGTTATATTACTCAAACTCTTTATTCTGATGATTGAATAACAAATCTTTTTATTTCAGCTAAGAAAACGTGTTAGGCAGGGCTTTAAAGGGGAACAAATGGGTGAAATTCTTGGGGCGGCAGCACCAATAAACCCTTTTTAAATGTATTTCAATGTCACACAAATAACGTTTTCGCTAATAATGGCGTTTTTCAGGCACCTATTAGACGTTATTGGCGAGAGTCTACTAGATGTTCCTAGGCAATTATTTCCAGCTGTTGCATCATCAGCAGGGGTTGAGAGAATTTTTTCCACATATGGATTTGTACACTAAAAGGTAAGAAATCGCCTAGGACAGGAAAAGGCATCTAAGCTTGTCACAGTACATAAGCATTTCAATGTTCAACTAAGCTAATTTAAATGTTTTGAACTATTTTTGTTGTTTACAGAATGAGAATATGGTGTTGACTTGAAGTTATTACCGGTAATTCTTAATACACTATAAACCTACAAATGTAAGAAAATAAACTTGTTACCAGTATTATTTTTTTTACAAAATGAGAATATTATTCTGTTGACTTGAAGAAGTTAAGTTATTAATTTTTGAAACACTGTAATCCTATAAGAGCATTTATGTTAAATTTCATTATTACGTTTGGATTTGTGCACTCAAATGTAAGATACGTTACCAGTTTTCGTTTATTTTACAAAAAGAATATTATTGTTAAATTCCATTGGTACATATACTGCATAAATATCTTAATGCCAATTTTCTGTTTATTATACTGAATAAGCTTAAGTTGAAAAATACTGTTTTTATGGTTTAAAAATACTATTTTAATGCAATTAGTAAAAAAAAAATTGATTTAAATAAAAAAAATCCGATTTAAATCAAATACAGTTGTACCCCGCTTTACGCGGTTTCACTTAACGCGATTTCTCATATACGCGGTGCCTCGCCAGAATCGAACTTTCACTTAACGCGGTTCATCTACTCATATATGCGGGAAGCGGCGCGGGCACGATGCGCACAAGGTCGCCCAGTCATCAAAACATTACCGAGTTCTTCACCCGCCACCCACCACAGCCGGCCCAAGTCAGTGATAGTGATAATTATAGTGAGGATATGGACTTACCGTATATGGACTTTGAGGAGTTTGACAAAGAGGCCCCTGCAAGCCTCTGTGGTGGATAGTGATACAATTGATACAAGTGATACAGGTGAGGGCCAATAATCTGCCCTCTGCCTCGGAACCAACCCCCCATCCCCGTCTGCCCAGCCATCTTTTCTACTAATGTAAGTGTTAAAAAACCTAATATTATTGATATTTCTCTTAATTATTAATTGTGTGTGCATACCATCATAAAGTTAAGATAATATTTTTACTACAACATAGTTGTGTGTCGTCAAAAAGTGGAGTTTGGGGGTCGGGACAGTCTCTATTGGAATTAATCCCATATGTTCTGTTGTTCCATTTACGCGGATTTCACTTAACGCGGTACCCTGTGGGTTCAATTGACCGCGTAAATTGGGGTACAACTGTAAATCAATTTTTTTTAATTTTTTTTCTTAAATCATGATTTTTTCCAACCCTGGTCTATGCAAACTCTGACCTGCTCATCCTTTTTGGGACTCACAACAACTTGACTCGCCCAAGGGGTTGGTTCATCTACAGGTACAATTACACCCAGCTTGACTACTCTCTCTAGTTCTGCCTTTAGGTTAGGCTTCATGAATATTGGCATGTGTCTGTCAGGCATATTACAGGTTTAATACTTGGGTCAACTCTGAGGGACTGTACACCAGGGAGGGTTCCTAGAGAGCCCTTCATCACATCCAAATACTCATCTTCTAGTTTGATATTGTACACTCGCTCAAAGTTGCCCTCCTTTACTTCACCAGTCCCATATGTTGACCAGCATTCACCCTTAAAAGTGGTGTAAGATTCTATGTAAAGACAATGAAATCAATTGGACATTTCTGACCAGTTACAGGGTTGTACAAATTTCTAGTGCATATACCAACTGGAACCGGACTTCCTTGGTGCCAGGTTTAAGGACTCTATTTGTAGGTTTGACATGTTTGGCAAAACTGAAGGGTAGAGTATTAACAGTAGAACCAGTGTCAATCTGAAAGAGTATCTCTTTACCCCCTATCACCATCTTACACTTAGCTTCCTTGTGATTGTTATCATGTGATCTAGGTTTATAAGACACTGAATGAATAAAGTCAATAGCTGCCTCTGTTGAGGAAGATTCAGACTCAGATGTGTCACAGTCAATGTACACACATTATAGATCTTATGCCTTTCCTTATTCTTTACCTCTCTATTTTGACTAGTCTTGTAACAGCACCTTTGCTTTATATAAATACACCCTAATGAATAACACCATGTTATTCAACAAATTATTTACCAAAGTGATACACCATGTTATCTATGACTAGATCAGTGAGGTTGCATCTACCAAGGAGTCAAGCCAGGGTCAGGTGACTCAGTGAACACCGCTCGCTACCACGCTCACACTCCCCACAGAGGGAAGTTCACACTAACAGAAGTGTTATCTCAAAGTTTTATTCACAACACTTCCCTGGAGTGAATTCACAATATATTCTCTCAGATTATATCTGTGTATATACTTGCTTTAAGCAAAAAAGCAACAAACGCCAAGAAGTGGTTATATCACGCCCTGCCACCTTTTTCTTCTTTTTTTATAGTTTATTGGGCACTCCCCTACATTCTGTGCAAGGTGAAGCACAGAATCACTTACAGCACCCATCTGGGAAGCATGCTAAGTTCATGCTTGCCTTTATGTCTCATGAGTTAAGGGCGTAGAAGCCTGAAGGGTCATAGATTTTTTGTCAAGGGCGTAGAAGCCTAAAGAGTCATAGGTTTTGTCTTAAGTTATTGGAAGCTCCAACAACTTTCCCTGAATACGAATTTGCAGTTTTTTTATTTACAACAGGTACCTACTTTACTGCTACGTGAACAGGGACCAAGTGGGGCTAGGAAGTGTGTTCAAACAACTTTCCACCGGCCTGGGAATCGAGCCCGTGACATCTCGCTTCCGAGACAAGAGCGGTACCGCTCTACCACCGGCGCCCCTCCCTGCCACTTAAGAGTTTCAAAACTTAATTAAAATAATTAGTGTGATACCAAAACAGCTATCACACTGACTTTTCTGTTATTTACACACGTTAGCAAAATGATTACAGGCGTCACATGATACACACTTTTTTGCCGTATGAAGGGCATTTCCTTTTTATGAGAGCATGTTTATAACCACAAAACTTGCAGTCTTTCTTAGGTTTTTCATATACAGGTTGTACCTCTCTAGTCCGGCAACCTCGGGACCTGACCGGTGCCGGACCATGGAAATTGCCGGACCTTGGAAATTCACCCTTTTCCTGGATAGATAGTGAATTTTGCTTATGCTTGGAAGCACTAGCACCACTTTCTCTGCATCATGGTCTCTTTGAAGACATATTGAAGGGTTAAATGTCGTATAGTAGCTTCTTAAATTTCGCAAGTTTTTAATTCAACGTATTTTATTGGAACACACACACACAAAAAAAAGTTTGACGGCGGAAACTTGAATTTCGACGGGTTTGAACGGCCCGCCAACGTACAGATGACGTGCATAATCGTGTAAACAGCGTCATTTCTCTTATGTACAAAAGATTCATTATTGTTTATTACTGAATGTCTTTTTTATTGAATTAATGTTTGTGTGCAAAATGAGCAAAACAATTCATTAATAATACGTAGAATATTAAAACAAACGAGGAAACGACGCAGCATTGTTTTCGTTGATTACAAAACCAGTGACTGACTGGTTCTACATATAAAACTGAAGAAAATAAGACCTTGGTTGTAGCTGTAGTAAAATTAATATGGTTGTTTTAAGTAATGTTATTTAATGTTAATAAATGGAACAATAAAGTAGCTAACGATAATGGTAAAGAAAAGAGAGAGATCGCTTATGTAAGTGCACACACGTGAAAACATATCGTCATTACTTTACATAAGAATATGAAAGCAACACTTATTTACTGTTCATATATATTTTAATTAATGTTTCTGAATTTGTTTTTGTTGAATTAATGTTTGTGTGTGCAAAATTAACAATACAATTTATTAATAATACGTGGAATATTAGAGGAGACGAGACGGCTGCCGGCATTGTTTTTGTTAAAGCTTACAAAACCAGTGACTGATTGGTTCTATATATAAAACTGAAGAAAATAAGACCCTGATTGTAGCTGTAGTAAACTTAATGTAAAAAAATTTAATATGTTTGTTTGAAGTACCTGTAATGTTATTTAATGTTAATAAATGGAACAATATAAGTAGCTAACCATTAATGGTAAAAAAAAAAGTGAGACCTTGTATGTAAGTGCGCACATGTGAAAACATATCGTCACTACATAAGAATATGAAAGCAACACTTATTTACTGCTCATATATATTGAAGGGTTAAATGTTGTACTCTGTATAGATAAGCAGAGAGAGAGAGAGCAGCCGAACTGCCGGATGTAAACAAACCTTAATTTCCTGCGGCTTTGTTGTTGTTTTTTTATGGGGATTAGCCCACCCGGGCATAGGTCACTGACCCACATTGGGGCCTGAGGGGCAAAAATTTAATACTCCTGTAATAATAATAATTCAGATAAGTAAAAAAAAAAAAAAAAAAAAAAAAAAAAAAAAAAAAAAAAAAAAAAAAGCTGCCTATCTACCTAATGTACAAACTAAAATCGTTCCAGACCACAGAATGCCGGACTAGAGAGATACAACCTGTATCACTTTCCCTCTGTCATTCTTCTCCTTATAACCTCTGTTCTCCTGTGTTACCTTATCTGCTGTGTCTGGTCTTATCATTCTGTTCTCGGCTGTTTCATTTTCCACAGCTTTCCACATGTCAATACATGTACTTTAAGTAGTTCAGTTTGCAAA